TTAATCCCCATGTACCAAATTTGGTCTTGACAATAATCAAGAAATATATGGTAAAATACCAAAACAGTGTACATACTGAGTATGACAAATAAAAAAGAAAAAAAAAAGAAAATGGTTTACAGTGCACTGATTAAGTACAAGTACTTTCAAAACATTGTTCAATGCAATGTCCAATGTCTAAAACGCAGTGACAAGATCAAAGTGAACTTCAGAAAAGCACCCAGAATTATTTGGTTCGAATGAAATGCAGCTATTTAAATCAGCAAGCAACCTGTAAATACATACTGGAATGACATGTTAAGATAAGTTTTAAATACAATATGTCCCATAGCAGTATCCATAATCATTAATTATGCCTAGGTTTGACTGTTTGTCAAACGTGTACTGACTCCAGAAGTGATACCTACATATTACAGTGAACCTTAATGATCGCAACCTGCAATCACTAATTTATCATGACCTGTTATTTCACAGTTTGAAGTGGGACCAGCACTGCCTTCTATATCATCACTTAGCAACAGAATCATCCTCTTATTGTACAAATAAAGTTGCATGAATCCACACAGAAAAAAGTGGTTACGTGTTTTTATTACAAACTTCATTTTGTGTACAAGTCTAAATACATAGTTCTATATTCAGATTTTTTTGATAAAATAAAAGTGTCATAAATAAAGATTTTTAATTGAAGTCAGCAAATCTTCTCAGTAATAGATTTGTGTATATTGCAGAACTATGAGGTATTGTTGCATGATATAAGCTATCAAAATTGTCTTTCAAATCCAGATCCTGTGAAAAAAAAATACAAAAAAATAATTTACACACAAACAATATACATGTCACATCCACCGAAACCTTGCAAAAATAATAATTTGGTTCTTTCAAACGCACATTTAAACAAATGAATTAAAACAAGTGACCTTGGACGTAGATGGGGCTGTGTGAAAGATCGTGTGAAAGTATGAAAGATCGTCACGATATTAACGTAGCTAGTTCACGTCATTTAAAAAAATATTATTTTTGTAAACAATAACTGGTAAAAGATACAAACGAGAGCGCCAGTGATCAAATACAATTGCACTAATAGATAGACGGTGCAGTCCATTGACCACCGGCTACGGGTATCGAACAAATTACCTGAAGTTCGTAGATTCGCAACGATACAATTCCCGAAATTTCATATATCGTTACTTACAAATATATGATTTTATATTTTAGTCCTGCGTTCACGGACTGTATGTGGGGCTTAGTATCATGACAGGACCGACGATCCCCCGACTCTGCAGTCATTTTGGAGGTGGATAGCAAAAATTAACTTTTAGTGTCTTCACAATAAAAAGACTGGGATAAATCGTCATACACTTCTATTTTACCGTTTATATGACTTTTAGTTGTTATCTCGAGGCTATATTTCGTTTACAAATGACATTCTATACTACTGATAACGTAACACTCTGGCTAATCTCTCAAAATGGCGGGCGAACCTCGATCCTCATATATTCAGTTTTCTCTCGTAACAGCACTCAAAATCGTAATCACATGATACTGTTGTGCCAATGATTTTTTATTGTAATAATCGAACCAGAACGATTATCTTGAATACGTCCAAAAACAGTAATGTTTCAATGCATGGTTGCTATTTGTGACGATCGAATACAAAACAACCGTGAGTGCTTGCGTAGGGCAGTGAGAAGAGGCATTGTCCATTAGTTAGCCCCGATCTTAATAGTTATTATATTTCAGTTAAACGCAAGACAATATTTTTTTAGCCAACACAAATTGAAATAGATAACTGGCTTGAAGGAGCTTGAATGATAAACGAACAGGCAAAAATATTATTGCAGCTTGCATTAATTAAATAACATAAAAACCCGCACTTAGTAGATAAAAAAACAAATTACTCCACTGTACTTACCAAATAATTTAGTGATCTTCAGACTATTCAGTCTTAATTATCGAGAAGCGACAACAGGCATTCATAAACATGAATCCGAACATGAGGTGTGTTAACATTTATCTCACTTAAACGAATCGTCTCAAGATGCAACATTTGAACACAATGTGTGACTTTGCTGAACGATAAGACAATGTAGGGGAAAGGCAGGGTCCAAGTACGTGGTAAAAATATTGATAATCTTTATTGCAATCATTTTCAAATCAGGATATCAAACACAATACAAATAAAGGTAACATTCTGACAAAACAATATAATAATACAACTTTATTGACATTAATTTAACAACATTAAAACAACTTTGTATTAGATGCATGTAATTTCTAGTCCATTTTAATCAGAATCTGCACATTTTGGGATCTAAAATAGCTGCCAAACGGTCAAAATTGATCTAATCACAAAACAAATTCACGTGCATATATATACCTTCATGACATGTATGTGTACTAAATTTGAAAAGAATCCACCAAAGTATGTCTGAAATATGACCTCGCACGCATAGTACTTCCAGTTTCGGACTACCTCCCGAACGGGAACTAAAAACGCAGTGAAAAAAGTTGTTGATTTCTCAGTGTGAGTAGGAATGCATGTTAGTCACTGTGTTAATAAATTTGTACACTCGGCGTTTGTTGAATCGGTGTTGGTATGGCACCGTTTTAGTTCGACGGTTAGTGAGAGAACAGTGACGCCTGTCACATTAAAAAGGTAAATTTTTGTTGTTGTATTCTTGCCTACAGAGTACGCACTTTGTGATTTTTATGGATAATATACGCATGTTTTTGAGTAAACGCGGTCACTGGTCATCATCAGACGGTTTCGCTAAATCCAGCTTTCACAAGGCGACGGACGAATAAAAGAACTTTGTACAGCCAAGACTTGAGTGGGTTAAGAAAGACGAAAGCTCCGTGCGGCAAGACGTATCTGTGTCTTGTATAGTCGAAGTCAAATGACGTGGCAATTTAAAAGGCATTGCAATGTGGTCTTCGATAGTAAAAATACGGCTATGTCCCATGTTTAATTGCAAATTTGTATCATGCGATGAGTCGTACATCATTTTCTCGTTGATCGTCAGATGTATATCCATATATCAGCAGTCATGTTGAATGTTACACTCGCGAAAACATCTCTGACTCGTGATTACGAACGAGTTGGGTCTGAATTAAGACGAACCACCGAGCGCTACGCAAGTTCGGTTTAGTGGGTATTGACATAAAACTCTCTGTTAATCACCAGGCCAAAAGATGAGCTGGTGCTATTCATCGTTGCAAAGTTTGTTTTAAGTCAGTGAGCATGTATATAATAACATTACTCTATGTTCCAGAATTTTTAGCGCAGGCAGGCTAAACACCTCGAACACACATGACTTTTCACGCTATGATTTGCCACATATCAAGCTGTGGCAGAGGTGATTTGAAGAAGCGCCATCTTGCGTGGAGAGTGTAATAACATATGCAGTTGAGGGCAGTATAACAAGAACGGCAACTATATATGTGAGGGACAGAGATTGA